TTTTTTCTAGCCACTATACGTATAACGTAAAACACGATTAAATTTCGATCGATCCCTGAAAAATTACCTGATGATGGAGCCTGATGTACACACCATTTTCAAATTTTTCTAATCACTTTGTACAAACCAAGATGGAGTAGGAATCTAAGTAGAAATCGAATCGAGATAAATAAAATAATCGTATTTTTTAATTAGAATATTTCTCCTTCGAGGAAAAGTCGAGTTGAGAAAATGAGAAACTTGAACTTTCCTTCTATTCACGGCCAAGATAAGTTAGCGTATCCTAGATTTCAGGCACGATTCGATGCTTCCTATATTTTTCACGCGATAGAACGACGCGCGATCGATCGTAGAAATCGGAACGATCACGAAAAGGCAGTGAAACGTCGATATCAGATCGTTTCTTCTCTTCGCCTTTTTTTGCGTGAACGAACCGCACCGTAACGAAAACGTAAATGAATTTCTTGCATACTTAATATACACACATATATATATACACACACACAAACACAGATACAGATCCGTGTAAATACCGCGGCGGCACGCGCGAAAGTAGACGATCCCATTTGCGAGTATTTTAAAAAAATAGAAGAGGCAAGGGAGTAATTGTTTAGCGTTAAAGGAAAACAAAAAAAAAAAGTACAACTAAGTAGACGTTTGGTGTCATTTCACGTGTGTATATGCAGATAGACGGCGAATAAATGTAAAGACAAGATGATGGACACGGAAATGATTCTTTTTCTTCAAACCTTTCCTCGATTTTTTGACTTTTTAATTTTTTTTTTTTTAATATTTCGATTTTGTTTTGTTAGATTGATATTATATAGTAATAATAACAATAAGTTGAAAACGAATAGAATTATCATTGCGAGTATACAGGATTACAAACGTCATTTTACGTATTCATTTTAAAATACAATAATAAATTTATAATATAAAATTAGGAAGAAATATAATTGATATTGTGAGATTAATAATATTATTATTACGTGAAATTTTCTCGTATTCAACAAACATAATTACGCATAGTTTTTAAAGAGTAATTAACTATGTATATGTATATATTTGCTCGTTAAAATTTTTTTTTATTTTTTTTTTTTGTTATATGTGTAAAATTAAAGTATAATCAAAGTGTTTTTTTTTTTTTTTTTAAATGACAATGACGAACGTGTTAGAGAGAAATTAAAACTAAAAATTTTACAAAAATTATATTTTGGATATTAAATTTAAAAGATAATTTAATTCACACAAATCTAATTTCTTCGTTCCATCCCGATGAACATTATAAGTGAATAAAAATTTGATTGATCATGTACACTTTCTCTTTTTTTTTTCTTTTTTTTTTTTATATAACATCATTTATTAAGGGATAAAATAAATGACAAATAACATATCACTTATATGAAACTATAACATTTCTTAGTGTTCATCATTCGTTATGATATAAAAGAAATCACATCACATACGACCCTCCACATACTTAACACTTTCACAGCTAGCTTATCAGCTCGATTCGCGGTACAATCTCTCATCCCTCCTTCTCTTTTTTCCTTTTCTTCGAAATTTTCGAAATCTTTTAACAAGATCTTTTCAATCAAAACATCAAAATAGATTTGTATTGCATTGACGGAAACTAAAGAAATCTCGAAACGCTCTTTTTATCCTCGAAATAATTCCATCGTGAGCCTCGAAGCGAGGAATTTAGGCGACTCACGCCACGGTCTATGATAAGATTAGGCGTCGACCGCGTCGCTTAATCGAATCAACGTGACTGTGATGTTACAGGCGGAGTCGCGCGATTGGAATTCTCGCGAGTTTTTCTTTGGGGATTTGAGAAAGAATCTTTGTATTCGAGCGAGCTATAAAAGAAGATAAGAAGAAGAAACGAAGAAAAGAAATATATATATATATATAAATGAAATATCGAAAATAGGAGTTACGGCAGATTCGAGCGGATTCGAGCTGACACACAAGCGTGCCTACTTCTCTCGACGACGATACAATAATAATAATATAACCGACTGAATCCATTTGGAAGGGTCTAGTCAAATCACTTGTAATTATCACACGATCATACTCGACACGGTGGCATGTAAATGTTGTTCCATTATTTTTCTTTTTTTTTTTAATATTTTTTTTTATTTATTTATTTTTTTTTTTATTTTCTTTTTATACGATTTTCACCTTTTTCTATTGTAATATGCATGTTTATTTTATTTTTATTATTACTTTTTTTTTGTGACTTTCGGAGGTGGCTCGAGCTCGCAATGCGAACACGCGATTTGATGAATGGGTAGATTTTCCCGAAAAATACACGTTCTCTCTATATAAGATGTGTGTGTGAGTGTGTTTAAGTGTGTGAGCCTGTCGATCTATCGTCGAAATTTTAAGAAAAAAAAAAAAAAAAAAAAAA